TATATATCAAATGCCCCAGATGAATATAATTATTGTGTGTTACAAACATACAGCAGTAAAAGTACTAATTAAAAGTAGACCACAGGATGGCCTCGGAAGCTGCGTGTGGGAGCTCACAAAGCCTCCCTCTACCCCATGTGGATGACTGATGCCCTTCAAGTCTGCTTGTTCTCCCTCTAACAAAAGACAAGGAAGAAAATAACTATCATTGTGCCAAGGCACTGAAGAGGTTTTTCTGTTACAGCAGCTATGGTTATCGTATCTAAGTCAGTTGAGTTTTCTGTTACTTGAACTATGCCCACAACGCGTAGTTCAACAGGAGAAAGGTTGAAGTCAGAGCTCTCGCTCTTCTCTCCCACTATTCCTACCAATTAGCATCTTTTTTCAGGCTTTTTTTTTTTTTCCAAACAAGACAGCCAGAATTGATCAGGAGAAGAAGACAGCCAGATTTGATCAGGACAACAAGGTGGCTGGCTCTCGTCACCTACCCGAGGCTCTGTTCTTTTGATGCCCACGAGGAAGAGGAAGCAGGCCAGGAGGAGGCAGAGAGCCAGGTGCAGGTGCAGGGTGGTGCTGGTGTTCTGGATGGGTCGGCACAGGACAAAAGTGAGGACCGCTAGGAGGAGGCACAGCACAGACAGGCTCAGCCCCCCGTAGGTGATCACCCTCAGCACGGGATCCTCCTGCAAGGCAGCAAGGGAGGACCATCGAATGGCTTCCAATTCTGCTGTTACCAGCCCGATGGACAGTCACGTGCCCAGGCCTTCCACCCATATCATGGGCCCTCACCCTCTCTATCTCATGTTCCCCTCTGCAAAATAGGGTGAGATTTACTGCTCACAACTGCTGCAAAATAAAACCACTAGCTAGAAGTTGTCCAATAGAAATACTGGATATAGGAAACTTGTGTTTAATGTAGCACTTTAAAAAAAAACATATTTAGTACAGGGTCTACAGAGTCTCACTACAGAGGTCAGACTCATAGTGATCCTCCTGTTTTCAGCCTCCCAAGTGCTGGGATTACAGGCGTGCACCTCCATGGCCAGTCTCAGTCACTGGCTCAGTGTGCCCCAGAGGCAGGGCTGGCACAGCATCAAACCCTGGTCCTTGAGCTTTGGAGCACTTTTCTTTAAGAGTAGGAAATTTTATTGGAGAAAAGGAATGGGGACTAAGAATGGAGCAGTAGCTCCTCAAAGACAGGAGGTATCCTGCATGGGTTCCCCTAATTTAACACTTTCCAACAGGTAAATTTATTTATGTTTTAAAATGTATTTAGTACAGGGTCTACAGGGTCTCACTACACAGATTGGACTCATAGTGATCTTCCTGTTTTCAGCCTCATAAACGCTGGGATTATAGGCGTGTGCCTCCATTCCCAGCCTCAATAGACATCTCAGCTGTGCAGGGGTGGGGAGGGGGGTGAGGCTGCCACGGCACACCAGGGATTGAACCCCCGGTTGCTACATCTGCCTAAGCAGGAGCTTCAGTCCGCTGAGCTCTCTGGCCAGTCCCTAATAGGTAACTTAAAAAAGATTAAGAAAGGGTAAAATTAACTTAATTATGTATTCTGCTTAACCTGATAGCTTCAACTATTATCAATTCTATGAATAGTCAGTGTCAATGGAGACAATTATTAGTGAAAAGTTGGACAGTTTTTTGATATTAGGCCTTTGAAATTTACAATGGACTTAAATTCCTACACTGCAATCCTATCCAAGAATAAGGTTGTCTCTAACAGAAAAATACTTCACACTGCTCCAGTTTTTAAATTTAAAATTGATTAAAATGAAATAACATTAAAATACAGTTCTTGAGTTGTACCTGACTAAATTTTAAGTGTTCTATAGCCACAAGGATGATGATTTTACTCAACAGCACAGCACTCAAAATTAATTTCATGAGGGGGCCCGCCCCTTAGCGCAGTTCTTTAAGTGGCTGCTTCAACCAAACAGTCAGGCTCAGGTTGCTGTGGTTCCATCCCTACAACTCAAGCCAGCCAAACCTGCCCTGAAGGCATTTGGAGCAAAAAAAAAAAATTAATCTCATGAAAGCTGAGATTTAAAACATGTCTTGTTCCCTGTTGCAATGTCTAGAACAGTGACTGGCACATATTGGGCACTGAATAAATTTTTTTTTTTTTTTTGGTATTTTAGTATAGGGTCTACAGGGTCTCACTATACAGATTGGACTCCTAGTGATCCTCCTGTTTTCAGCCTCCCAAGCAGTTGGGATTACAGGCGCGCATGCCACCACGCCCAGTCTCAATTGCTGTCTCATGCACCCTGGGGGCGGGGCTGACATGGCACACCAGGGTTGGAACCTTGGTCCCTGTGCTTGCACTTTAGTCCCCTGAGCTATCTGGCCGGCCCTTGGGGTGTTTTCTTTTTATTCAGTGGAGTCTTTTTTTTTTTTTTTTTCCAGAACTAGGGATTGAACTCAGGCCCTTGCACTTGCCAGGGAAGTGCTTATTCTACTGAGCCATCTCCCTGGCCCTTTCTTTTTATTCAGGAAGGATAAGAGGAAGTCATATTCAGGGGTGAGGGGAGAAGATGGGAAGTGGTTGGTGGGAAGATAACCTGCTGTTTTGGGGCTTCAGCCAAGTTAGAATACCACCAGCATGGCTCAGCCATTCAGACGCAGGCAGAACCTATCAACAGGTAAAAAGTAAGAGGACTTAAGGAGGTTTCTTTCAATCTGAGTTATCCTAGTATGAATTGGGACCTAGGCCTCCAGTGGTTTAGATCAAGAATGAACCCCCAAATCCTCACATACTCAGAGATGGGATCTTAAAGCACCTGGATCACGGGGTACATCTGCTATAGTCACCAGTGGATTTCTCCAATGATGAGGTTAGGGGCCTGATTGGAGGTAGGTTCCGGGAAGGGCTCATTCTTTTTTTTTTTTATTTTTTATTTTCTGTGTATTTGGTACAGGATCTCGCTATACAGCTTGGACTTGTAGTGATCCTCCTGTCTCAGCCTCCCGGTGGTGGGATTATAGGTATGGACTACCACACCCAAACTCAGTGGCTGGCTCAGGGCGCCCTGGACCAGAGCTGGTGCGGCAGCATATGGTGCTGGGGATTGAACCCCGGCCCCTGAACTTGCCAGGCAGGGGCTTAGACAGCCGAGCTACCTCCCCAACCCAGAAGGGTTCATTCTTGGCCCAGCTCCTCCTTTTTCCTTCCACTTGCTGTCTGCCGAGAAGTGAGAAGTTTGCCTCCACAGTGGTTCCTTCCCCGACCACGCTGCATCTGCATGTGAACCTGCCAACCACGGACTGAAGCCTTGGAAATCGTGAGCCGACATAATCCTCTGCTCCTTTAAGCTGTGGCTGTCGGGTATTGTCTTATAGCAGCTCGAAAGCCACGAAAGACAGGGGCTCCACTTCATCATGGGTGCTAGCCAGCAGCCTCCTAGATCCCCTGGGACCTCACTCCTGTGAAGGCTGCCAAGTGAAGGCTGCCAAACCAACTTCCCAGCACCTGTTGGTGTCCCTGTTGGCTCGAGTTCCTGGGTCCTGCCTGTGAATTAACGCCCTCTGAATATAGCTGCGAACAAATGACTTAAAGTCATGCATAAGTACCTTGGTTCCCTCATTGTGTCCTAAGGATGATTTTGATATGTATTTTGTATCTCATCTCTCAGACCTTTTTTTTTGTGGAACTGGGGATTGAACTCAGACCCTTGGGCTTTCCAGGTAAGCATTTATTCTACCGAGCCATCTCCCCAGCCCAGTATCTCATCTCTCAGAAGGCCAAGGAAAAGTAAGCTCACGGCTCACACTGAGCACTGGCCTGATAAGGAGTGTTCACTGCACTGGTTTCCATCATTTTCCCATATCATTTTCTCAGGCACCTACTTACATTTCTTTAAATCACCTCTCATGTGAACTAACTTTCTCTCTCTCTCTCTCTCTCTCTCTCTCTCTCTCTCTCTCTCTCTCTCTCTGGTTGTTTTTGAGACAGGGTTTCACTATGCAGTTCAGGCTTGACCTTGAACCCACTTTGTAGGCCAGGCTGGCCTTGAACTAGCTATCCTCCTGCCTCAGCCCCCCAGTGCTGGGATTAAAGGTGTGTGTCACCATGCCCGGCCCTTGGGTAAGCTTGAAACCTTGTTGTAAAGTCTTTTTCTAAAAATATGCAGCGAGTGAGCTAAAAGAGCTTTTGTGCAATAGAATCATGAATCTTGGTACCTTGGGGTTCAGGGCCATGAGGACGGCAAAGCTGGACAGGTGGCGGCACTTGCACGTGGTGTAAGAGTCGTTGCTGCCCACGCGGCGGCAGCCTTCTGTCGACCAGCTGCCCCCTGCCTCTGATCCTTCCCAGTAGACACAGAGATGTTGCATGTGCTCGACACCAGGCTGCAGAGACAACGGTGCGAACGTGGGTCTCTTTTCATTTTTATTATCTCAACTTCACATGTTAATCTAAGGCGAGGGATCGGAAACCAGAGTTGGGAGAGGACCTGCGGGGAAGTTCACCATGACCACGCCTGCTCTGGGGCTCCCTCTACAATATTTTCCCCTTCTGGGGTTGTCTCAGTTCCCCGAGGACTGATGCTTAAAGTGATTCACCCAAATCCCTTGTCATTGATAAAACCAATACGGGCACCAATGAGTGAGAGACCGCAGGATGGGAAAGGAGGGGTGCCCAGTGTCTCCTTGGGGTTCGCTTTCTGCTCTAGACTCCTCCTCTCCAGTAGGGTGCCCTACTCCTTCCCCCTGCACCTGGCTGCCTTGTGGCTCAATACCACTCAGCACTCTGTTGTTGTCTTTTTCCTCCCAGATTTGAGATGTGATAATTAAAATTGTATACATTTAAATTAAAAAAATATTTATTTATTTATTTGGTACAGGGTCTCACCACGCAGCTTGGACTCATAGTGATCCTCCTGTCTCAGCCTCCCCAGCACTGCTATAACAGGCATGTGCCACCACGCCTGGTTTTATTTTATTATTTATTTATTTATTTATTTGTGTGTGTGTGTGGCCAGCTCAGCCCACCAGGGGGCGGGGCTGGCTGGCATGTGGTGCTGGGGGATTGAACCGTGGTCCCTGTATTTGCGAAGCTTGTTCTAAGTAGATGCTTTAGACCACTGAGTCATCTCACAAGCCCCACGCCTGGTTTTTATGGCCGGCACAGCATGCTGTACCAGGGATTGAACCCAGGCCCTGTGCTTGCCAGGCAGGCGCTTAGCCCCCTGAGCTATCTCCTCAGCCCCTGTATACATTCACAGTGCAGGATGTGATGCTTCCATAGACGCATGCCTATGAATGGTGGCCGTGACCCAAGGATTCTGCCTGCCTGTCACCTTGCACTTTCTTTTTGTGGTGAGGAAGCTGCAAACACACTCTAAGGAAATTTCAGAGACACAGAACATTACTAATAGCTGTAGTTCCCATAAGTACACTAGGTCTTTAGTGTTTATTAACTTCATAATGTTTGTCATCTTTGACCGCCCTTATCTCCTGCCCCAGCCCCCATTTCCTCTATCACTTTATGCTCTGTTACTCTGAATTTAAAGTTCTTGATTTCTCTATGTATTTGAGATCACACAGGGTTTTTTTTTTTTTTTTTTTTTTCTGTATTTTAGGAAAGGGTCTACAGGGTGTTCAGGGTCTCACGACTAGATCGGACTTGTAGTGATCCACCTATTCACAGCCTCCCAAGAGCTGGGATTACATGGGTGGGCCACCATGCCCAGTCTCAGTTGCCTTCTCAGCATGCCCCAGAGGCGGGGCCGGCAGGGCAGTCCTGGCAATCAAAACCCTGGCCCCTGTGCCTGTTTGCAGGCGCTTCAATCAGCTGAGCTATTTGGCTGGCCTGAGATCAAACAATATTAATCATTCTGTGTAGGGCTTATTTTATTTAGGAAAATGTCCTCTGGGATGTTTTCATAAATAGCAAAGGCTGCAGATGATTTCCTGCTTTTTCACATTTTATTTATCACTTCATCAGTTGATGGACACTTAGCTTGCTTTCACATCTATGCCATGACGCATAGCACCCCAGTGAATATAGGGGTGCAGATCTGTCTTTGATATATACTGATTTCCATTCCTTTGGATACGTACCCACTATTGGGCTTGCTAGGTTATATTTTTTATCTCTTGAACCCAAACTGTCCCCAGATGTGGGGCTTTGGTGATGAGGCCCTAAACATCTGATGGCTTCTCAGGTGAATGTGCTGCCAGGAGGCGAGGTTCACGTGGACCCAGGGGTGGCTCTGACCGTGGCGCTCTTGTCCTGGGTGCTCTCTGCTCTTCAGCGTCCTCTGCTGCCTCCTCCCACAAGGTGAGCAGCTTTGCTTTTTCTCATCCTTCCTACCCTGGCGCCTGGCAACAGTGGACCGAAGCTTGTGAAACCACTAGCCAAGTTAACCTTTTTCTCCTTTCAGATGTGTATGGCAGGTATTTTGCCCCAGGGATGGGAAGCTACTACGTAAAACTGATACACAGAAGGGCAGCCATTGCTGGGATGGGGCTATCCCTGTGGTTCCCTAGACTTGGGGCTGTTTCATGGGAGGATTTGGAAAAGGCGGTGCGAGGAGTTAGAGCAACCCCGAAACCCTGCGAATGGAGCTTGATAGGTGACGCCGCATGGGACTCAGCGGAGCAGACTGCGGATGAGAGTGCAGAGCGTGAAGACCACGCCCCGGGGCTCCAGACAGCGATGGGGTCTTGCTGGGAAGCGGACTCAAGGGCCTGCAGGTTTCGTTTTGGCAAAGAATTTATTTTTTTGCATCCGAGCCCAGGCTTTTTCATTTTCATCTTTTGACCAAGACCAACAACTCAGCACCTGGGAAGCGAGGCTTTAAACGGTCCATTTTCAAGGGTCCTGGGAGTCTCAAGGAGAAGAACTTAAGAACCAGCACCAGTCGGGGGTGGAAGCCTGGGCTGCCACCCTGGAAGGCCCAGGCCCACGTGGATGGACCTCGCTTCTCTCGCCCGGTCACTGTCCCTGCTGCCCACATCTGCAGCATCCGCGCATCCCTCCTCATCCTTGTACTGGGTGAACAGGTTGTAGAGCACCCTCAGCATGGATCTGAGGTCCACGTTCACCACATCTTCAGGGCAAGCCTTGGGCTTCTTGAGCCTGGCGTCCAGCATCAGCTCAAAGGCGAAGGCCACGTTGTGGCCCATCTGAGCAGAGCTCTCCGGAGTCAGGTAGAAGTTGTGTGTGTGTGTGTGTGTGTGTGACGAAATTGTCCTCCAGAAGGCCTATGAGCAGGACGAGGTACATGCCGTCTGCAAACTGGGTCTCCAGCTCTATCACCTTCAAGTTTGGCTTGTTCAGGTGCTTGTTCACAAACATGGCGAGAGACTTCTTCCCCACGGTCAACTTGTCCGGGGCGTGGTCAAAGAGCGTGTTGAAGGCATCCCACTCAAAGTGGCCCATCATCATTTCCGAGGTCGTGGTCAGCTCCTCAGAGTCATGGCTGGAGTGCAGCAGGCCTTCCTGCTTCTGGATGACCACCACCTGCACAGACCCTGCTCCGGGGAGGCGGATCGGGGCCTGGCATTGCATGGCCAGTAAGACCAGCAGGTGGATGATGGCCACCAGGGTCTTGCTGTGGATGGAGTCCACGTTCTACCACAGCACCCAGCCATGTGGCCGTGGCAGGTTGTTTGGCAAAGAATTTGCCTCTTTTGTCGATGCCTGGAAACTCTGGGGAGGCTGTGTTTCAAGGTAGTGAGTCGATGGATCTGACACAGGAGACTTTCAAACCATGCAAAGTTTGGGTAACAGCATGGACGTTGCTGACTGATTTTCACCCATATTTACAGTGGGACTTGAGAGCAAAAGCTAGGGATAAAAGCTTTGAAAAACTTAGTAGTCTGTCCAGAAAAAAGGCACATATAAAGTTGGGATCAAAGGAGGTAGGAAGAAGGTGTGAAGTACTGTAGAGATTGTCACCATTAAAGAGAACAGAAAGGGCTGGGGAGACAGCTTGGTGGTCTAAGCGCCTGCCTGGCAAGTGAAAGGACCCAGATTTGATCCCTGGTACCACATGCCATGCTGGCCACTGGAACCTAGAGTGATGACACATGCCTGTAACTCCAGAGTTGGGGAGGCTGAGACAGGAGGTTCACTCTGAGTCTGAGCTGGTAGCGAGACCCTGTACCAAATAAATGAATAAATAAATACATAAAATATTTTTTTTTTTTTTAAAAAGAGAACAAAAGTACTTTGTACCAGGGCAATAGGAGAAACCCTTAAAGACATCTTGGGAATTAACCAGACCACAGAGAATCATAGGTTACAGATATAAAAGCACGAACTCCTTTGAAGACTTGCCTTTGAGAAGAGTGCCTGAGAGCCCTGTCCACCTAGGGCCCCTTAGGGCAGTGTCTCCCCAGGGCAGGCATCCAGGCACTCGGAGACCACTGAGGCTGTGGTCAAGGTGGCCAAGCCACTGCTCACACTGGCCAGAGGCCATGGCATTGTCTACACGGGGCTTTTTAAGCACACGTGTAGAAAGCAAGGGTTACAGAGTCACAGGGGTTTCCAGCCAGATTTCAAAAGAAGACTCAGAGCCAGGTACAGTGGTCCATGCCTGGAAACCCAGCACTCTGGGAGGCTGAGGCAGGAAAATTGTAAGCTTGAATCCAGCTTGGACAAGTTATCAATTCAGACACCCTGTCTAAAAATGTAAAAAAAAAAAAAAAAAAAAAAAAAAAAAAAAGTGGGGGATGTAGCTCAGCGGGAAGGCCCTGGGTTCAGTCCAAGTACTACAAAAAAAAGCAAGAGTTGAGAGGTGTTTTGCTATGTGTCTAGATGTCCCTTCAAGTCTCATGTGGGACTTCTGGAGGTGGTTGGATGTAGAGCGTGTGAGGCTAAAATCAAGGATGCGACGCTGGGAATGGTTCATGGTGTGCTGCTGGGCTCAAGGGTAGGCAGCCTGGGTGGAATGGAAGGGACGGGAAGGGGGCTGCTGCTGTCGATGCCACTTTGCTGCTTCTTCGCTGCCTTGCTGCCCCGTGGGTGCCCCGGGCCCTTTCACCTGTGCGATGCCACTCTGCCTTGGAGCCAGCCGACTATGAAAGCTCTACATACTGTTAGCCAAAATAGGCCTTTCTTCCTTTGGCTTTGGGTGTCCATATTTTGATTTAGCCATAATAAAAGTAAGTAAGATAGCCAGCCTGCCCTACACAGCAAAACTCTGTCTCAAAAATTTTTAAGAGGTGCGTGGGTAAGGCTAGGGATATAGTTTAACAATAGAACATCTAACACGCGCAAAGCCCTGCTTTTAATTCCCAGTATTGGTGATAGATAAATAAATAAAATGAAAGAAGTCAATCCATAAAGGTTACCCACAGTACGATTCCAAATATCAGACATTGATCCAAAGACAAAACTACGATTTCAGTTGTGGTGGTGTATGCCTGTAACACCAGCACTTGAGAGGCTGAGGCAGGAGGATCACAACACGTTCAAGGCCGGCCTGGGCTACAAAGTGAGTTTAAGGTGAGCCTGAACTGCATGGTGAGACCCAGCCTCAGAAACAACCAGGGCCTTGGAGATAGCTCAGCAGTCTAAGCATATGGTTAGGCAAACACAAGGACTGGGGTTCAATGCCCAGTATCGCATGCTGTGACGGCCCTGCACCAAGCTGGCCCGAAACCGGGTGTTGTGGTGCACCTGTCCTCCCAGCACTGGGGAAGCTGAAAACAGGAGGATCACTATGAGTTCAAGGTGCATAATGAGTCCCTGCGCGCGCACACACACACACACACACACACACACACACAAAACAACCAACAAGAACTAAAAAGCAAAACAAACCAAACCAAAAAACCCAGCAACAACAAAAATAAAACCTTTTTTCCCCGTTTCAGTTGCATATGCCCGGTATTTTGTACCAGTGACAAAAATAATTAATACATATCCTAATTCTGTTTTTTAGGTTTTGAGGCATCTTCACATTTTAACGGCCACACCAGCGCACATTCCCATTAACTGTGTGCAAGTGTAGCTTTTATCCTCATCCTCATCCGTACATTTCACTTCTTAATAACAGCCACCCCATCCCTAGGCAGCAAAGCAACAGTGATGGCGGTTGGAGTCAGCTCGAGACGGGCAGGCTGACCAGGGCCCTTCCCGCGCGTGGCGCTGCACGGGGAGGCAACGTGGGCTGTGCTCACCTGAGTGTGCTGAAAAGCCAGGAGCACGGGTTCCGACAGGTCCACCCTGCCTTGCAAGCCGACCGTGCCACTCACGATGTGCGAGTTCAGCCTCACGCCTCGCAGCCTTCTTGAATTATTAAAGAAGGATCCATTCAGAGTATTCCCAAGAGACTGATAAGCGATAAGAGCAACTGCCCGCACATCTAAGAAAATAGAATAAGCCATATCGGAAGCTGTCTGCAGTTTCAGAAGTTGGCATACTAAGTGTCTTAAATTTTTTTTAAAAAATTGTTTATTTGGTACAAGGTCTCACTATGCAGTCCAGACTCATATCGATCCTCCTGTCTCAGCCTCCCCAGCTCTGGGATTACAGGCATGCACCACCATGCCCAGTTTCCATGGCCTGCATAGCACGCCCGGGATTCTGGGGCCAGCATGGCCTGCGGTCCTGTTGATCGAACTGGGGTCCATGCGCTTGCCAGGCAGGCACTTAGACCACTGAGCTATCTCCCCGGCCTCACTAGTGTCTTGTATGAGGGTATAAAGTAAATATGACATACAGTTCCAATGAGCTGTGGAAATCCTTTAAATTGTACACACAACATACCGAAAGTGGCTTGGGTTGCAGAATCTGGAACTCATATTATGATGCCCTTCGCATTTTAAGAGGTCTATGTGCTAAGTGTTCCTATCAACGGTGCATAAATATGTATGATTCCTTCGCCATCAGAATCAGTATTATAGAGACTGGGCATGGTGGTGCACGCCTGGAATCCCAGTGCTTGGGAGGCTGAAAACAGGAGGATCACTACGAGCTGTAGTGAGACCCTGTACACCCCGTACTAAGTACATAAAAAAAAATCAGGGCTGGTGAGATGGCTCAGTGGTCTAAAGCACTTACTTAGAACAAGCTTAGCAAAGCACAGGGACCACGGTTCAATCCCACAGCACCACATGCCAGCCAGCCCCGCCCCCTGGTGGGCTGAGCTGGCCACACACACACACACACACACACACACACACACACACACACACAAATAAATAAATAAATAAATAATCAGTATTATTAGGCCACATGCTCCTCCTCAGAAGGGCTGGTTGGCTGCAGAAACTATACACATCCGTCTTCTATTTCAAGCTCATGTTTACGTAGGGGAAAGGTATGCAGGCTGTCTTACTATATTTAATTACCTCTTTCTTTTTCCCTTCTCCCCCTGGCTTTCTCCCACTTTCCCTTCTTACTCTGTCTGTCTGTATCATTTTCTCTTCATATCCTTCTCTTCTTCTTGTTCTTGTTCTTTTTTTCCAAATTACTATTTAGTTCACCAGAGTTAAATGAGCACAGCACTCTGCAGCACGATGTAGTCTCTTCCAAGGTGCGCTTATTCACGGGTGGCGCCCTTACTTGGCCGAAGTCACTTACCACTCACAGTATAATTTGCTCCATTTTTAAAAAGTCAACTTGTTTTTACATCTTTCCCCTCCCTCCCCCTCCCCTCCCCCTGCAACTCTTAGAGTGAATGTTAGTTGGTAGCCAGGAATTTTCTGGAATATATATCAGGCTTCTCGGTGTCTCAAGGCAACCATGTCTCTGTCTTTGAAATCTGTTACATGCGTGCGTTGTCATCATGTATTTTCTGGGCACCTACTGTGTGCCCTCTATGATAGAGTGGTATGCAGAGCCAAGTCCTGGCCATCAGAGAGTTGACATTATGTTGAGAGACAGGGACAGTAAATAAATAAATGAATTAGAAAAATCTTACATATTCTGGGTGCTTCATAGAACTGTGGTGAGGGAGGCAGGTGTAGGAGGCGGACTACGGCATAAGGAGCAAAACCAGCCCTTCGTATGTTTTTCCAAATAAAGTTTTATGGGTACAAAGCTGCATTCCTTCATTTACACATAACATACTGTTGTTGTCACACTGCCATGACCTAACTGAGCAGTTATGACTCAGGTAATTTGGCCCCCAAATCTAAACTATTTACTGTCTGTTCTCCCTTTAAAGCAGATGTTTGCCAACTTGTAGAACAGAGGGGAGCTCTGAAACTACCTTAAATAAGGTGTTCATAACACATGTCTCCAAGAGGGTGATTGAGACCATGATCATTCACCAGTGTTAGGTGACACTCCCAGAGTGTCACACAGAAACAGGGCACACCTTAGCATGTCTAAGGAAGTATGTCTTTTTTTTTTTTTTTTTTTTTTTTTTTTTTTTTGTATTTTAGGGAAGGGTCTACAGGGTGTTCAGGGTGTCACTACTAGATCGGACTCATTTACAGCCTCCCAAGAGCTGGTATTACAGGCGCGCTCCACCATGCCCAGTCTCAGTTGCTGTCTCAGCGTGCCCCGGGGTGGGGTGGGTGGGTGGTGGCACGGCAGGCCCGGGGGATCAACCCCTAGGCCCTGCACCTCCTCACAGCTGCTTTAATCTGCTGAGCTATTTGGCCAGCCCTGTAAGGAAGTATGTCAATGGAGTCTTGTTTTAACCTCAACCTGAGCTGCAAAGTACATGCTCTGTATGAGAATCCAACTTTATTCCCCGAGATGCCTGACAGGGAGTCAGTGAGGAAGGTCTTCATTTCAACCTGGAGCATCTCTCTAACTGGAGCACCATGCCTCCCCACCTACTGACGCTTGATGTCCAGAACTGAGACAATGCTTACCACGAGCGGTCCATAAAATTTCTCTTAGAACCCAGTACCTTTTCTGGCTTCTTTGAAAGCATCAGCGCAGTTGATACTCATGGTGTTATTTCCAGCTTCCAGAAAGGTCTCCTCATGACATTTCTTGGTTTCATAGACTGAAACATCAAGAGAGTTGAGTCCTGCTATACGTTCTTCTCATGAAATGGATTGAAGTTGAGTCCTGCTATACATCCTCAGAAATGGATTGAAGAACTCCCTTCTTTGGGGACTAGGCTTTTAGACAGTTTATAGCATACCAAGAAAAGTTAGAAACATGAACAAAGCTGGTTTATTTATTTATTCTTTCAATTTATATCTTCAAAGAAGAGTCCTGCTCATAGAAAGCATCAGCGGGACAATTCTGTCATTATGAGAGCTGACAGATCTCTTCATTGAAGGGCCCTGTCTACCCCTCACCCCATGTCACTCTAAGGTGGCCATCAGAGCTGCTTCAGATCTCTTACCTATATGAAGTATGGCATTATCACCCTTTCCTGGGGAAGCAAAACTCTGATTCCATATGGTCATTTCCACTTGCTGAAGAAACTGTGTAGCCTGCCTTGCAATTTCCTTTCTGCTCACATTTTGAGTTGGAAATTCCTTTAAAAGAAATAGCACTAGTTAGGAGGACTTCCACTGAAACTTAAGAAATCAAGAATATGGTCGGGAAGATGGCTCAGTAGAATAAGCACTTCCCTGGCAAGCACAAGGGCCTGAGTTCAATCCCCGGTTCCACAAAAATAATAAAAAAGAAAAGAAAGAAAGAAAAAAGAAAAAGAAATGAGGGATATGGATCAGTCAGCTGGATGCTCCCAGAAAACATTTGTTAACGTGGGTGGGGTGGGGATGAAATTCTTGATGCTTGATTCAGGCTGCTTAGTGACAGCTGGGGCAGAGTAAATCTATTTCAGAGTTTCTCCATGCCTGTTGCCATCTGAAACGAGACAATTCTCTGATGACCTGAGCCGTTCTGGGTCATCTAGGAAGGTGTAGTGCATCCAAGCTTTCTACCTACCAGATGCCAGGAGCAACCCTCTCTGGGTTTTGATAACAAAAAGTGCTCGCAGGTATTGCCAATTTCCCCACTGGACAGAGGACAAAACTGTACCCCAAATGAGACATACTCTGTTCTAAAAATCACAGGGCGAGGTTGGGTGGGGGGTTGCACATCTGTAATCCTAGCACTCGAGAGGCTGAGGCTGGAAGATCACTGTGAGTTTGAGGTCAGCCTGGGCTACAAAGTGAGCTCAAGTCCAGCCTGAACTACATAGGGAAAATGTGTCTCAAAAAGACACACACACACACACACACACACACACACACACACAACAAAAACACCCAACCAAAAACAAAACAAAAAAATCCCACAGGGTTTCATAGGCACAGTGACATAGGAGCACTTACTGGCTATTTCCCAATTCCAGGCTTCACCCTACTCACCAAAATATTCTTCGTTGGTTGTGTCTGCTGTGTCGGGTTCTCTGGGAAGAAAAGTTTAATAATGAGATATGGGAGAAAACACATCCATTCTTCCACTCGGTCATCTCAAGTTGGATCTGCTCCTGGTGCTTCTGCAATCCATCCTAATTACCCTTTAAGACCTCCAAACCATAGTCTATGACAGAACTTTTTTTCCCCATAATGCTAGATATTGAACAAAAGGTCTTACATATGGCATGGATGCACTGATGAGCTACGCCTCCAACCCTTCAGTAGAGTCTAAAAAAGAATTAGCACTGTGACTTCCAGTTGAATAACTCAGTCAACAGCATTTCTTGAGCAGAGACAGTGAGTCACACCTGTTGACTTGGCTGGCCTGAGAGACACCTGGGAGACTGGTAATCACACTTCTTGGTGGGGCTCAGTGCATCATGGGTGATCTTCCCCTGGGCTCTAATTCTTAGTATTGTGAGTTGAGCAGCTTTCCTTGACCTTGACGTTTCTGCTGTCATGTGTTTGCCTTGGAGCCAACGGACCATGGATTAAAATCTCTGAAATTATGATCCAGAATCAATCTCTCTTCCTTGAGGATGTGGATGTAAAGCATTTTGTCCAAGTAAGGGAAAAACTGAGCAACACAAGGAGATATTTGAAACTGGACACAAAGCTCAATCAATCAATCAATCAGTTAATCAATGATATCTATCTATCTCAATGATATCTCCTCATGGGACTCACTCTGGCAGGATTATCACTAAGCAAACAAATACAAGTAAGTAATTAACTGATTGTAATTGACGCTTTTATTAGACAAGATGAGAGGACACGGAAGCATACAACAGATCCCCAACACATTAAGGTTAAGAGACCGTGTACAGCAACTTGTAGATCTTTTGTCAGTGTCAGCCATCTGGATGAGTCACTTGATTGACCTTGTCAGATAGCAAAAGTTACATTTTTAGTTATATAGATCATGCTTTAATTTGGTCTTAACCATCCAGCAGAAAAGTATAATCATGAGGTATAAAAAGTAAAGCTATAATAATATGCTGAGCTGTAAAAGGCTCATGTAAACAACTTCTGACAGTTGCCAGCTGTGCTGATAACTCACTACTGTTGTGGATTATTGGACTATATTGGGTTAGTTTGCTGAATTCAAGTACCTATAATCTTTTTTTTTCTTTTTAACCTACAATCTTTGGACTGGCATCAAGCATGAAAAGGTCCTTTAAAGACTTATCCAAATACAGCTTCTCTAACTGCAATGGAACACCCATCTCTGACAAAAAAGGGGGGGGGGAATATAAATAAAGAACTATTTTGTTGTAAAAAAATATATATGTGTATACACAAGATAGGATAGATATACAGCTACCCTCTCTTAGTTCAATGAGAAGAAAGGTTTGTACTAATATTGCTTAGACAAGATATCATGTCTGCATCTTGTCCTCTGAATACTATGAAGACAGCAATATGCAATGTATTAATTATTGTAACTGTCCTACTAACCTGTTTTGAAATGGTTTCATTGCTATTTTATCTTTTTTCTCATTAAAATGAATTTTAAAAAAAAGTTAAGAGAAAACCTGAAGTAAAAACAAAGAGTTAAAAATATAAGATAATGGAAAGTAGGAAGTAGATCTTTCTCAAAGAGGAAGAAGACCAAGAGATGGAGGGCCAGGGGAGGATGGGGAAGGATGGGGATGAAAAAATAAATTGGGATGCTGTTATGGCTGGTGGGCCCCCAAGCCTCCCGTGGTCACAGGGTTCTTTCAGAAGTGGCTGAACTAAAGTGCGTGCTGCTGGGATTGCGGATGTGTGATTAGTGAATCAGTCCATTGATTGGCATAGTTCTAGCTGGGCTTAAGGGTGTGAGCACTATGCCTCCCTAGGGCGGGTAGTCTGCGTACTGTGAGGGACAGAGAGAATCTTGTCTCTCTCTTGCTTCCTTGCTTTTTCTGTCTTCTGCTGCCATTATTGTTTTCCTCTGCCACGCCCCTCTGCTAAGCTCCCCTGCCTTGGATCCAGACTAATTTGTTTATTTTATTTTTGGTGGTACCAGGGATTGAACTCAGGACCTTGAGCTGGCCAGGCAAGCACTTATTCCACTGAGCTATCTCCCTGGCCCAGATCCAGCCTAGTTTGGACTGAAACCTCTACAAACTGTAAGCCAAGTAAACCCTTAGCTCTGGGTATTGAGTATTTTGTCTCAGCAATGAGAGAAGAGCAACTAAGACAGGTGTGTTAGGTCCATGTACCAATCTCACACGAGGAATGCCAGCATTGAGTGCTACAAACATGGACTCCAAAGTCTGAAGGGTACAATAGATACTGGAAAAAGGGAATGAACTTATTCCAAAGGAAAGAGTTACTGAGTTGAGGAGAAGGACAGGAGAGGGAGTGGGGGAAGGAGATTCATCTATGCATGTAAGCAGGATGGTTTGGACAACTGTACTGTGCCAGCAAGCAATCTCTGCCATTCAGGAACCATGCTGCCGTAACCCTCATCTCTGCCCTTCTCCGCATGAGACCATCTTTCCTTCTCCGTGCATGTGCACATTTCTCTCATTTTATAAGAACACTGGTTGTACTGGGTTGGGCTCGCCCTTATCTAGGGTGACCTCGTTTTGACCCCATTATATCCGCAGAGTTTCTATTTCCAGGGCTGCAGTCACAAGTTTAGGTGGGCTTACATTTTGGAGGAACAGTATTCAGTCCAGCAAGCAGCGTTAAAAAATTGTTCCAGAATGTGCCAGGGCCTCTGGGAATGCACACCCACTCTTGTGTCACTGCCTGTCCTTGACTGTCGACGGGCTGCAGTGGCTCACTGCTAGTGGACCAGACAGGATGTCACCCGTGGGATCGGGTGATGAAAGACTGACTCACGCTCTTTCTGGCTGTTCTCAGTGGTCACTAGAAAGAAACAGTCTAGAGGAGCCTCTCTAAAAAGTGGACACCGTTTCGCAGAAACCACCAGAGATGAACAGCTTTAAGAAACTGAATGCCATCAACAGTCATGTGAGGGCGCTGAGAAGCAGGTCCTATCCCGAACGGAGGTTTAACATGAAACAATAGCTCTGAGCAGCTCCCTGATGGTGGGATGTGAGGACGGAAGGGGACACATGGAAGCCAGGCCTCTACTGCTGACCCACGAAAGGCATGAAATGCTGCGCTTCTGTGCAGATTTAAGCCCCTGTGTGGCGGAGCACCTTGAGCTACAGCAACATATAACCGAATAGATGCTGTTAGTATTCCCACATCTAGATGAGACATTTAGACAACCTGAGCCCTAACCACAAGCCAGCTGGCAAGCTGAGGCATCGCTGCTTCATCAGCGCAGCATGAAGAAGATGCGAAGATGGAAGAAATATGTTAAATCTACAAATAAGGATTATGGTTTATATGCAGATGATCGGGCGCCAGGGATAGCTCAGTGGAATAAGTGCTTGCCTGGCAAGTGCAGGGTCCTGAGTTCGATCCCTGGTACCACCAAAAAAACCCCCAAACAAACAACCAACAACAACAAAAACACGATTTCTATATCCAGATGATCGCTCAGCGCCTTGTGTGCCCACAAGTGGGGCTTTGGGAGATGATTGGGTGATGGTGTGTGGTGCTTATTAGTGGATTAGTCCACTGATGAGTTTATAGCTAAATGTGATGTTGGAGGAGGTGGGGCCACTTTGGGGCGGGGCTTGGAAGGTTCCATCTGCATCCTTTCCTTGATTGGTTCCACTTCCTGCCTGTCAGGTCGTGAGCAGTTTGTCTTCTGCGCCCCTCCTCTCCATGCTGCCCTGCCTTGGAGCCAGTCACCAGCGGACTGAAGCCTCTACAAACTCTGAGTCAAGGTAAACCTCTTTAAGTTGTGGGTGTCGAGTATTTTGTTCCAGTAACGAAGAAAGTAACCAAGGAATTTACTGTGGATCCCGAGTGGTGTATTTCTCAATGTTGGACAGACACAAGATAGATAAGGAAAAAGGCTAAATAAAACCTTGATGCTGGACTGCAGTCAGAAGCACTAGTAGAAACTCGTGAGTTTTAGTACAAAAGTTGATAGCCATAGAAACTGAATTTAAGATCAGTGAAAGATAAAGAGATAGGTAAGTTTAGATAAGAATTAGAGTTGTACTTTGGAAGCCCAGGACAGTGGCTCCAATTGGGAACATAAATTTGTAAGGCATATACACAGAGATGATTACTGGTGCCAGGATGACAGTTCTAGAGATCATCACACACAAGGACCAGATGGGGGCAAGGGTGAAGACAGATCTCTCTTCTCCTTCCTTGGACTCATATTCCTATAGCTATGGCAAACTGCTCCTGCTCCTTTATCATGGTAGAAAAAGTATTTAGCAGTTCTTACCATAACATTCTGGACGGTCGAATTCGAAGATACCAGCTACCCAGGAGAATCTAGAATTGATCAGACAGCTGCAGATGTAGCTTCCAATTTTATTTTTACAGTATGACGCTTCCTTGCATTTTGCCTGCCCGGTCTTACACTCATTGATGTCTGGAAATCAAGACAAAATATTGTTTTTTATTCTCACAGAAAAATACACCATTTCCCCCTTTCCCATGGGATCTCTACTGTTGAACATTATTTGCAGTTGCAGACAATATCTGTTGGTTTTTGATAGGATGAGTCACCATTATAGGTCTGACAGTTCTCCCTTACACACCAAATATGATACCATTTAGAAATCTGTAATGAATTTGTAAGCTGAGAAGAAGCTTTTGGTGTCATGCGAGGATACGCAGGAAGAGCATGAAGTGAGGACCTGCCTCATCAGGCATTAAAATATATTACAAAGGCAGGGGAGCAAACCATGCCAGCACATATACAGCAAAGCTGAGATGATTGTACTCATAATTTCTATCAGTTTTTGGAAAAAAGCAGGCTGGGGAGATAGCTCAGGAGAATAAATGCTTGCCTGGCAAGCACAAGGGCCTGAGTTCAATCCCTGATTCTGAAAAAAAAAAAAAAAAAGGAAAAAAATGCAGTTAATGTTTACAATTTTCCCTCTGACTAACTCTGCAGGCTGATATCTGTGATCTAAGCAGCTACATCGAGGGCAGCAATGTGTAAAACCAAAACCATGGTTGAATACCTCTTGTCTTGGCCTTCTAATGGTGCCATTTCTCAGTTCTTATCAAATATTATTATACTCTCTTTAAAATAAATATTTTTTTAAAAAGTAAAAAATTAAAAAATTCAGGTTTATTAAAAATAAGCATCAATATTCAATTACTTGTCCAATATTGCATAGCTGTATCTGTTAATCTGAGCAACAGATTTGATGATAAAATTAGGCAATATAACAACCATTGCTAATTTGCTACTCTTGTTTTGAAAATCTGTAATATATCAATTGTCATTTGTTATCCTGTTTCTTTGTTTCTGCTATTTCTTTTTGCATTTGTTTTTACTCTTCAAAATAATGTTAAGTTAAATTAAAGAAATAAGCTTATGATTCCACATGAAAAAATATCTTACCAATCCACAATGAAACTAGGAGAGGCTGTTGAATGAATACGTAAAAATAGCCTATGAAACAGACAAAAAGTCCAGAAATAAATTTGAGGATGTATGGCAGTTAAGGATGAGTTGCAAGTGTTATGTGGAATCACTGAAAGTAAAGATACAGTGGATTTTAAAATTCTGAATCACACGCTGAGTTAAATTGAATGCACACAACCAGAAACAAGGGAATAAAGTTACAGTTAGTGGACATGCTGCTACAGAAGACTGCAAGAGGACCATACTTTTTTAAATCCTAGTGTATGCAATGCTTGTGTCCCTTGTGTCACTTGTCTTCTCAGGTTTCCCTGCCAGTAAATCAGAACAGAGGTTCAAAACCCCAGACAGACCTAAGATAGGAGCTGTCCTGGGCTGACGACTCACACTTGCTTTGCATTCTGTATCTGAAAGGCTCTGGGACAGTACAATTGGCTAATAGTTTTTCCTTGTTGTTCAGTCTTATGATTCATTACAAGTTTTATATGAGCTATGGGCTGGTGTTGGAGAGGATATATGGACCAGCATATTTATCACCAATAAGTGACTGAGGTAAAACCTTCTATCTTCTTTTTCTTATTGGTACAGGGTCTTGCTATGCAGCTTGGACTCATAGTGATCCTCCTGTCTCAGCCTCCCCAGAGCTGGGATTACAAGAGTGTGCCATCATGCCCAGTTTGGGTGACCTACATGGTATGCAGTACTGGGGATTGATCTTGGATCCTTGGACTGCCAGACAGGCCGTTAGACCATGGAGCTATCTCCCCAGACACATTCTAATATCTTTACCTTCACATCTGTCCTTGGTCCCAGTGAAGTATTTCCTTCTTGAATGAGACCAGAATCCATCCATACAAACACAGTGGGTTTGGTTGTGGCAGAGGGCATCTGCAGGGCACAGGGGGCAGGGATCTGAAGGGAACACAGAATCCACATATTCACTGGCCCATCCATCTATCTCTCCATCCATCCACTCATCTATCTATCCATCTACACATCCATCCATCCATCCATCCATCCATCCATCCATCCATCCATCCATCCATCCACACATCTATCCATCCATCTACACATCCATCCATCTACTCATCCATCCATCCATACATCCATCCATCCATCCATCCATCCATCTACTCATCCATCCATCTATCTACACATCCATCCATCCATCCATCCATCCATCCATCCATTCATCCATCTATCCATCCACCTACACATCCATCCATCCATCCATCCAGCCATCCATCTACACATCCATCCATCTACCCCTCCATCCATCCATCTACACATCCATCCATCCATCTATCCATCCATCTATCCATCCATCCATCCATCCATCCATCCATCCATCCATCCATCTACCCATCCATCCATCTGTCTGTCCATCTATCCATCCGCCCATCCATCTGTCCGTCCGTCTGGACATCCATCTATCCATCTACACATCCATCCATCCATCCGTCCGTCCATCCGTCCATCCATCCATCCATCCATCCATCCATCCATCCATCCATCCACCTACCCATCCATCCATCCATCCATCCATCCATCCATCCATCCATCTACACATCCATCCATCTGCCCATCCATCCATCCATCTACACATCCATCCATCCATCTATCCACCCATCTACACATCCATCCATCCATCCATCCATCCATCCATCCATCCATCCAAGAAATAGTTATTAAGCATCTACAATGGATCGGACATTGTGGCCAGATTTTCCTCCTGGGAATCTTCTTTTTTCTCCCTTTGCATCCATCCCACTGCTGAAAATAGGGGCTCAGTGCCTGCTCCAGCTCAGCTACTAGAGAGAATTTTGCTCAAGAATCCAATTTTGAACTTCCAGCACCTGTGTTTCTTTCCCTCAGGGCTTTTTCTAGCCATCAAGTCCTCTTTGCTCACAACAAGGAAAATCAGCAGTTAACAGTGTCTGCTCTCCAAGGGGCAGCAGTGGTCGACAAGAGTTGGTCTATAATAATACCCAGCTTCATTATGATTTTAAAAAGACAAGTGTCTTTAGGGAGGTGAAGAAATTGGAACATTATCACTCTGCAGGTAGGAATGTAAGATGGAGTAGCCTTCATGGAGTGGCATAGCCATTCTCCAAAAGATTAAAAATCAGAATGTCCAGATGGCTGAGCAACTCAACTTCTGGATATATAACCAAAAATAACTGAAAGTAGGCTACTAAAGAGACTTTTATATCTGTGTACATAACACCACTATTCTGAATAGTATTCTGAAAGGAAGGAGCAATCCAAGTATCTATTGATTGATGAATGGATAGAAGAAAGTGATCCATTCATAAGGGGAATATTACACAGTTTTCTTTCTTAGTATTGGAATTGAGCCCAAGACCTTTGCACTAAGCTACATCCTCACCCCTTATTTTATTTTTTAAAATTTTGAGACAGGGTCTCGTTAAGTAACCAAGGTGCCCCGACTGGGCTCAAGTTTGGAAGCCGCCAGCTGCAGCCTCCCAGAGTGCTTGGAGAGCAGGCATGCACCAGCATAACATTCAGCTTTTGAAAGGAATGAAATCCCAACACATGCCAAAAACATGTATATGATGTTTCGTAAAACAAACTGGTTGTAAAAGGGCAACTCTGTAAGATTCCACTCAGAGGAGGTCCCAAGAGAAGTCACATTCATAGGTACAGAAAGGAGAATGGTAGGTATTAGAGGGTTGGGGTTGGAAAGTAGAGTATCTAGTGGACAGAAAAATTTACTTTGGGGCTGGCCAAATAGCTCAGTGGATTAAAGTGCCTGCAAGCAGGCACAGAGGCTAGGGGTTCGATCCCTCCCGGGGCATGCTGAGACTGCAATTGAGACTGGGCGTGGTGGCGTGCACCTGTAATCCCAGCTCTTTGGAGGCTGTAAACAGGTGGATCAATACTAGTCAGCTCTAGTAGTGAGACCCTGAACACCCTGTAGACCCTTCCCTAAAATACAAAAAAAAATCAATTTGGGGAGAAAATTTTGGATATTGTTAATCTCATATTTTTAAAAAAATTTTATTTATTTATGTGTGTGTGGGGCAGCTCGGTCCACCACGGGGCGGGGCTGGCTGGCATGTGGTGCTGGGGGATTGAACTGTAGTCCCTGTGCTTTGCTAAGCTTGTTCTAAGTAGGTGCTTTAGACCACTGAGCCATCTCACCAGCCCCGTTAATCTCATATTGCCACTGATATGTATACTTGATGATAGTTAGAAAGGTAAATAATATACAACTAATAATTGTAAACCCCTCTCTTTACCCACTGGGGGAGGTAACATTAAGGTCCATGTTCTGTACTATGTCTGTCAGTTCTCTGTGGAGGTCATGCCTCTGCTGGTTCCACATAACATGCTTGATAACAGACTCGGCATTTCTTCCTGCATTCCCAGTGTCACTTTCAACTCTAAGTTGGTACTTTCTGAGATCATTTATAAGAGACATGACTTACTTCCAGGCTCTGCTTCTGAAGTCCAAAACCCCAAGTCTGAGGTGAAAGCAAGTTATTTCTCAGAATTATCTAGGACACATGCTTTGAGGAAAGAAAGAGCAGCATCCAGCATCCACCAACTATGTCACTTTAAATGAGACCCTTCTATAGAGAACCATTAATCAAGTGAGGACTCTGTCAAGAATTTATTTGTAGGAACATCCTGAAAGTTGAAGGCAATGCTGTGCATAATTTGCTCAGCTAAGGAGATGGAAACTACCAGTTAAATTTGATAGTAAACTTGGCTGGATAAAGAGATGCCTGGACAGATTATTGTGCAGATGCCGATCCTTCCATGATCTGACCCAGGGATGCATTCAATGGGATCATTTGAGGACTATATCTGCCTCTCCGGCTTTGGCCCTGCTCTTCCTTGCCCAAGGCTATGATTTGAGAAGCTTTATTCCATATTCTTCTGCCATGATATTTCTGCCTTAGGGACAGCTGATTTGGATTAAAATGTTTCAAGCCATGAGTCAAAATAAACCTTTTCTCCTTTAGATTGTATATAGAAAGTCTTTTTTCCCCTCAGCAACAGAAACGTGACCAACGCAGAACATTGGTATTTTCTGTGACTGTATCAGACCATGTGATTCAATGTCTTTGGAACCGGGGTACTCGAAGGTTTTGTAAAGGTATGGAGATGTGGATCACAGAAACTTTAGACTGTTGGAAACAGAAAATGATGTACAGTTCTGGTCAAGACTAAGGTAGGAAAGTAGACAGTCAAGATTGTGCTCCTGAGGTTACAGCTGGGAATGAGGACTCTATCAGGAATTCATCTAAAGCTATACATACCCTGCAAAGAACTTGACTACATTTTGTCCCTGTATTAAAACTTATGTAAGCCTAAGTTTAAAGGTGACAAATTAATGGAGGAAAATTCAAGGCAACCCAATGTTCATACTGTAGCATGGGTACTTCTGGCTGTCTTATGCTAAATTTATAGAAGCATTGAGAACAAAAAGCAGAACCAAAGGATTTGGAAAATTTGCATTTTGGCTAGAAAAGAATCTCAAATGAAATTGGGGCCAAGGGGCAGGTGTGGTTTCTGAGTAGATTTGCTCCACCAGAAAGAAACCAATTTAAGTGAACTTAAGTGACTTTTACAATGGAGTTAGAAAAGATAATGGAGGCTCCTCTTCCCCACTAGTGTTGCAGGCATGGAGATGAAGTAGGTCAGGCTCCTGGAGGTTGCTGCCCAAACTCAACAGAATGTTGGGAGCCAAGGCAATATTTGGCAGGGTCAGCAGCCCCTGTGATGGAAATACAAAGGCATAGGTGCTGGACACAGTGCTTTGGGACTTACGGAAAAAAAAAAAAAGGGACCGGGGAGATGGCTCAGTAGAAGGGCCTGAGTTTAATCCCCAGTTCTGAAAAAAAAAAAAAAAAAAGACTTACGACTTCGCATTAACTGATTGTTTTCTTTCCCTCTATTCTTCTTGGAATGGAAATGTTCACCTGGTGCCGTTTATTGTATCTTGGGATTACTAACTTGTGTTTTGATTTTTTTCTAAATAGGGAACTATGGCTAAGAATCCCCTCGTGTCTCTAAGGGCATTTTAGCATTGCTGGGATTGCCGAGATTTGGGGGGAAAGTGGTTAATTTGTTTGGGGTGATATGGAGGACTGTCATGTTTGGTGGAATTATAATCTTGTTATTGTGTTTGTAAGGATATGAAGCATGGTTTGAGGAGTGTCAAGTTGACAAGAGGTGGGCTGAATCAGGTAATCTGATCTGTCAACTTGACTGTATTATGAGATTGTGGGAGAGGTGACTGGATTGTGCGGGGATTAACATCATAGGTGGGTGAATCCATTGATGAGGGCCTGGTGGGTTGAGCTGTCTGCAGTGGGGCCAAAGCGGAGGATGTGAGCCGAGAGTGTGACTTGTCCTATTTCGCATCTCACGGAGCTGCGCCCATCAGGACATTTGGGAAGTTGGGGGTTGTGGAGGTGGGGATGGGGACACTGCCCCTGGAAGAACCAGAGAGAGGGCAGGGCACTTTGCGCAGGTCTCAGCTCTCTGGTGCTTTCAAACGGCTGCTCTCCTTCCCCAGAGGAACATTCCAAGCGCCCTCTTTCCTCCCCCTGGCCTTTGGCCATGAGCGGACTCACCTATCGAATTTTGCGCCTCTAATTCCGGTGCAGCCAACAAGACGCTGAGGCCTGGAATAGAAAGAGGAGGAACTAAGACTGGAGTCCGCCTCGGGAATCAGCGCGCGCAGGGCCTAGGCGCTGACTCTGGGGAAGCCAGCGGCTCCTGCCGCGATGTGCACGCTAGCCTCGGTGGAGACCCCTCCAGGTGTGCTGGAAGGACAAGCGCAGCTGTGGGCATCCCAAACTAAACTTCTAAAGCTCCCCAGGCAACTCTGACTGTGCCTGTTCTCTCCAGTTCCTGAAAACTCAGTAGCTAATTCAGCTTTTACTCCAAAGGTAACACTAAAAGACCCATTTTTCTTCCTTTCCTTATTTTATTTTTATTTTTTAGGGAAGAGTCTGTAGAGTGTTTAGGATCTTGTTACTAAATCAGACTTGTAGTGATTCACCTGTTTACAGCCTCCCAAGAGCTGGGATTACAGGTGCGTGCCACCATGCCCAGTCTCAGTAGCTGTCTCAGCCAGCCCTGGGGGCTGGGCCTGGACCTGGAGACAGGCCCAGGGATCGAACCCCCAGCCCCTGTGCCTATTTGCAGGCGCTTTAATCCACTGAGCTATTTGGCTGGTCCTAAGACCGCCCCCCCCCTTCTATCTCTCTTCTATACTCATTTGTCTCTCCATCAGTCCAGACTTTCAGTCCACCAGAAAATTACTTAAACAGCATAGAGTCTTTAAAAATTTAGTAGCCATATTTCGAAAAAAAAAAAACCAAACAGGTGGGGCTGGGGAGATGGCTCAGTGGAATAAGCACTTCCCTGGCAAGCCCAACGACCTGAGTTCAATCCCCGGTTGTGCAAACAAACAAAAAAACAACCCAGGTGAATTTAATTAATTAATTAATTTTTGCAGAACCAGGGATTGAACTCAGGCCCTTGTGCTTGCCAGGTAAGTGCTTATTCTACTGAGCTATCTCCCCAGCCCCCTGGTGAATTTAATTTCAGTGATGTATTTTATGTAGCCGAATACAGTCAAGATGTTTATGCTACAATTTGTAAGCTTATGTTATTAAACAAATCTTAATTTAAAATGGTTTATAAGGTACTAGCATTTTTTCTATTGTGTATGGAGTCTTTGTGCACTAATTTGTATTTTGAGCATACAGCGTATCTCCAGCCAGACTGGCCACATTTTTAATTCTCAGTGGTCACATATGACCTGCAACTGTGGTTCTGGACAGGTCAGACCTTAGTGACTTTTTTTTTTTATACCAGGGATTAAGTTTGGGACCTTGCACTTGCCAGATACGCACTTATGCCACTGAGCTATCTCCCCAGTCACTGTGGTTGTTTTGAACAATACAGACAGTATGGAACCTGAGGGGCCTGCTTACTGTGGACAAAAGTTTGAATGAGTAATGATGTTGCAAGATGATTTGTTTCTGCATCCACTGTGTTGGAAAGAAACTTCATACAAAAGCTGAGATCTAGGGCTGGCCTGATAGTTCGGTGGACCAAATTGCCTGCTTAGGCAGAGCACAGCGGCCAGGGTTCGATCCCCAGCATGCCATGTCGGCCCCATCCCAGGGGTGTGTTGAGATGGCAACTGAGACTGGGCATGGTGGTGCGCGCCTGTAATCCCAGTGCTTGGGAGGAGAATCACTATGAGTCCAGTCTCCATAGTGAGACCCTGGAGACCCTGGACCAAATACAGAAAGAAAAATAAAAGCTGAGATTTGAGAAATTCAGGTTTTCCCAGCTATTTCCTCCTGGCTTATAAACAGTGTCAAGGCTACCAGGCTTGGAATGGCCAACCTCCTGATAAAGGAGCTTATGTCCCTTTCCTTGTAACCCAGCAGTGTGAGACCCCATTACTACAATCTGGATATATTTTTCTCTTAGGACCAACATCAGCTCTCAAATGGTAGAATTTATGGCAAATAAGAGCTACATGATTTTTTTTTTAATGTATTTAGTACAGGGTCTAGCGGGTCTAGAGGGCCTCACTACAGAGATCCGACTCATAGTGATTCTCCTGTTTTCAGCAGCCCAAGGGCTGGGATTACAGCTGCGTGCCACCATGCCCAGTTTTAGTCAAGATCTCAGTGTGCCCCGGGGGTGGAGCCAGCATGGCATGCCAGGGATTGAACCCCGGCCCCTGTGCTCTGCCTAAGCAGGCGCTTTAGTCTGCTGAGCTATCTTGGCCGGCCCAAGAGCTATGTTATTTTGAATTGTGTCATATCCACAGTCCATTTAGATTCTCAAAGAACAAGACGTGAGCGGGGACTGTAGTTCAGTGGCAGAACACTTGTCTACTGTGTGTGAGGTCCTAGGTTCAGTCCCCCACACCGCAAAGAAAAGCCACTGGAACTACATGAGATGAACCTCTCCTCCGAAGTCCTCCATTACATTCATACAATGGAGTACTACTCTGCCATAAAGAAGGATAAACTTGAGAAATTTATAGCTAAATGGATGCATCTTGAAACCATCATCTTGGGTTGGCCAGATAGCTCAGCGGATTGAAGCACCTGCTTAGGCAGATGCGGGGGGATTGAACACATAGTGGACACAGTGTTGAACATTGCTTACTTGTGAGACCCCTGACACAGCTCCCATCCTTAAACTGTTTTTTCCTCTAAGTGTTTTTATACATCCTAAGAGCTAAAGCCCAGAGTGGAGGTGACTGGGTTTGGGTTGTAATGTGGTGAGCCACAGCATTCCAACCCTGGGTATTGGCCACTATTCTATATAATATTTGGGGGAACAATCATTTTATAATTAAATTGTGATTAGGGCTTGAAGGAGGCCTAGTACCTAGCCATGCAGGCTGGCTGTGGTAAGCAGGAACATAATTCCATGTGCTTCTGATCACAGCCTCAATCTTCCGGCGATGTTCTGACGCAGAGCGTCCAGGGGCAGGGCCACGGCAAGACTGCGTCAGCTAAAGACGTCATGGCTCCTGAGAACCCAGAAGGGATGAAAATAGAGCTTCACTCTGGGGAAAGGACAAACTCCTTCTTCTCTCTCCAAGTCCTCCTCCTCATAAAGATCCTCTCCTTAACAAAATTTTTACATGTGTTCTTGTGACTGTTCTTTATTTTATTTTATTTTATTTTATTTTATTTTATTTATTTTATTTTTCTGGAACCAGGGATTGAACTCAGGCCCTTGTGCTTGCCAGGGAAGCACTTATTCCACTGAGCCATCTCCCCAGCCCCTTCTTTCTTATTTTTAAAAATTAAAATTTAAAAAAAATATTTTTTTTGAGACAAGATCTCGGTAGATAGTCCAGGCTGGCCTTGAACTCGCTGTGCAGCTCAGTCTGGCCTTAAATTTGCAGTGATCCTCCTGCCTCACCCTCCCAAGTCCTGGGATGACAGATGTTTGCTGCTGCATCTAGCCTGTTCTTCTTTCTTTCTTTTTCTTTTTTCTTTTTTTTTTGTATTTTAGGGAAGGGTCTACAGGGTGTTCAGGGTCTCACTACTGGATCAGACTCGTAGTGATCCACCTGTTTACAGCCTCAAACCCATTCTTATTTTAAAATAAAATTTTATTTTGAGGTGCATAATGGTGAATTCCCACACAGATATGTGAAAAATCATAGAAGGAGTCCAAGTTCCGTGTGCCATGTTTCCTCAGGGTGGTGTCTCATCAACATGGGGCACTAAGTGACCACTCAGATATTTCAGTTGATGTACCCATGAGGTGGGACACTTCTGTTGTCCTAGGAAATGGAACACGGTCCTTTTATAACCTTCCCTCACTGTTCTTCCTTCACCCTCTATGAAACCTCCTCTAATCACTATTCTGGCTCCTCAATTTGCAGTTTTGTTATTTTAAAAAAGTTACAGGGGCCAGAGAGATGGCTCAGTGGAATAAGTACTTCCCTGGCAAGTGCAAGGGCCTGAGTTCAATCCCCCGTTCCGGAAAAAAAAAAAAAAGTTACATAAATGGAACTGGTAAAGCATATAAGTAGTAGGGGTGGAAACATTTTTTATTCAACAAAAATGTCTGGAGGTTTATCCAAGTTTTTAATTTTATTTTTTTATCTGTTTGGTACCGGGTCTCACTATGCAGCTCGGACTCATAGCGATCCCCCTGTCTTCAGCCTCCCCGGCGCTGGGCTTACAGGGGTGTGCCACCGCGCCGGGTCTCTGTAGCCACTCAGAGTCCTGGGGGCTGGACCAGCGCGGCATGTGGTGCCGGGGATCGAACCCCGATCCCTGCGCTTGCTTAAGCAGGTGCTTAGTCCGCTAAACCCTCTTGCTGACCCTCAGACATAACCAAGTTTTAAAAATGTATCTTTATCTTTGTTTC